GATTACATTTATTGATTTGTGTACATTGAACCTGCCTTGCATCCCAGGGATGAAGCCAACTTTATCGTGGTGGATAAGTTTTTTTATGTGCTGCTGGATTCTGTTTGCCAGTATTCCATTGAAGTTTTTTGCATCAGTGTTCATCAGGGATATTCATCTAAAATTCTCTTTTTTTGTTGGGTCTCTGCCAGGCTTTGGTACCAGGATGATGCTGGTCTCATAAAATGAGTTAGGGAGGATTTCCTCTTTTCCCATTGATTGGAAGAGTTTCAGAAGGAATGAGACCAGCTCCTCTTTGCACCTCTGGTAGAATTCAGCTGGGAATCTGTCTGGTCCTGGACTTTTGTTGGTTGATAGGCTATTAATTATCATCTCAATTTCAGAGCCTGTCATTGGTCTACTCAGGGATTCAACTTCTTTCTGGTTTCATCTTGGAAGAGTGTATGTGTCCAGGAATTTATCCATTTCTTCTAAATTTTCTAGTTTATTTGCATACAGATGTTTATAGTATTCTCTGATGGTAGTGTGTATTTCTGTGGGATCAGTGGTGATATCCCCTTTTTCATTTTTTATTGTGTCTATTTGATTCTTCTCTCTTTTCTTCTTTATTAGTCTTGCTAGCGGTCTATCAATTTTGTTGATCTTTTCAAAAAACCAAATCCTGGGTTCATTGATTTTTTTGAAGGGTTTTTTTGTGTCCCTTTGTCCTTCAGTTCTGCTCTGATCTTAGTTATTTCTTGCCTTCTGCTAGTTTTCGAATGTGTTTGCTCTTGCTTGTCTAGTTCTTTTAATTGTGATGTTAGGGTGTCAATTTTAGATCTTTCCTGCTTTCTCTTGTGGGCATTCAGTGCTATAAATTTCCCTTTACACAGTATTTTAAATGGGTCCTAGAGATCCTGATACTTTGTATATTTATTCTCATTGGTTTCAAGGAACACCTTTATTTCTGCCTTCATATCCTTATGTACCCAGTAGTCATTCAGGAGTAGGTTGTTCAGTTTCCATGTAGTTGTGTGGTTTTGAGTGAGTTTCTTAACCCTGAATTCTAATTTCATTGCGTCTGTAGTCTGAGAGACAGTTTGTTATGGTTTCTGTTCTTTTACATTTGCTGAGGAGTGCTTTACTTCCAACTATGTGGGGAAGTTTGCAATAAGTGCGATGTGGTGCTGAGAAGATGTATATTCTGTTGATTTGGGGTGGAGAGTTCTGTAGATGTCTATTACATCCACTTGGTGCTGAGCTGAGTTCAAGTCCTGGATATCATTGTTAACTTTCTGTCTCCTTGATCTGTCTAATGTTGACAGTGGAGTGTTAAAGTCTCCCATTATTACTGTGAGGGACTCTAAGTCTCTTTGTAGGTCTCTAAGGACTTCCTTTATGAATCTGAGTGGTCCTGTATTGGGTGCATACATATTTGGGATAGTTAGCTATTCTTGTTGAATTGATTCCTTTACCATTACGTAATGGCCTTCTTTGTCTCTTTTGATCTTTGTTGGTATAAGGTCTGTTTTATCAGAGACTAGAATTGCAACCCCTGCTTTTTTTTGTTTTCCTTTGCTTTCCATTTGCTTGATAATTTCTCCTCCATCCCTTTATTTTGAGCCTATGTGTGTCCCTGCGCATGAGATGGAACTCATGAATATAGCACACTAATGCATTTTGACTCTTTACCCAATTTGCCAGTCTGTGTCTTTTAATTGGGGCATTTAGCCCATTTACATTTAAGGTTAATACTGTTATATGTGAATTTGATCCTATCATTATGATGTTAGCTGGTTATTTTGCTCATTGGTTGACACAGTTTCTTCCTAGCATCAATGGTCTTTACAATTTGGCATGTTTTTGCAATTGCTGGTACCGGTTGTTCCTTTCCATGTTTAGGCAAGGAAAAAATTTTAAGCCAAATATTAGGAAAAATTTCTCAGGGCTACCAAGAGACTGGAACACCTAAATACAGGACCTCAAACATATCCAAATTGACACAACCCCAAAAGGACTTCTCCAAGGCACATAAGAGTCAAAATGTCAATAGTCAAAAACAAAGGGAAAATTCTAAAAACAGTAAGATGAAAGCATCAAGAAATGTACTAGGGAAACCTCATCAGATTAGAAGTGATATTCACAGATGAAACAGTACAGGCCAGGACAAAATGAAATTATATATTCAAAGGGTTCAAAGAAAAACATTCTGCCAGCCACAAATACTATCTACAGCAAAGGACACATTCAAAATGAAATAACAATAAAGTTGTTATTTCAACTTTATTGAAATAAAAGCTGAGAGTATTCATCACCACTAGACCCACGCTACAAGAAATCCTTAAGGTAATTCTATACTTTGAAGCAAACGGATGATATATACCATCATGAAAACACGAGAAACCAAAAGAAGTTCAAATAACCCAAAATAAAACTGTAATATGGTTCTGTCAGAACTCTCAAACAATTTTCCTTGTTCCATGAGATTAATAACCAGGAGCATTGCTGTGGTGAAGGACTCTGATGAAGCTCTCCCAAGCATTTTTCCACTAATGCTTTGCCTAGCTTTCTCAGGACATTATTATAAGCAGTTATTGCTTATAATGGGAGTCATTTTCTTAAGCAAAACAGGCTAGATATAGAAAATCAATATAACATGTTCTCACTGGTAACCTGTTACTAAAGAATCTGTTTGCATGGATGTAGAGAGTGAAATGATAGACAATGAATACTTGGGAGTATGGGAGGCAGAGGGATTGTATAGTGAGGTATTAATAAATGCAGTGTTTGTTATTTGAGCGATGAGTGCCGTAATGCTGTGACTTAAGCACTAAATAATCTGAGTAACAAAATCAAATTTGTATTTCTGCAAAAATATTTATTTTAATTAACAGAATATCTAAGCATAATGCTTCTGTATCCTGCCATAAAAAGAAGACAATGACCAGTGTGGACATGGCAGAAAGAATTAGCTGTAGGGCATCCCCCAATTCCACAAAGAGTTAGGGGGCAATACATAGCACTTTAGCATAGGTAAAAATTAGCAGCTGGGCACGGTGGCTCACATCTGTAATCCCAGCACTTTCGGAGTGTCAGGCAGGTGGTTCACAAGGTCAGGAAATTAAACCAAACCTGGCCAATTTCATGAAACCCTGACTCTATTAAATTTCAAAAAATTAGCTGAGTGTGGTGCACGCACCTGTAATCCCAGTTACATGGGAGGCTGAGGGAGTAGAATCGCTTGAATCTAGGAGGCGGAGGTTGCAGCGAGCTGAGAACTTGCCACTGCACTCCAGCCTGGGAAACAGAGCAAGACTCTGTCTCAAAAAAAACAAAAAACAAAAAAAAAATAACATCTGGTACTTACGGAGTAAAAGTGGTAGAAATAAACTGGAAAACGTAGAAAAGTAATTTAATTTTTAAACGGCCAAGGTATGTAATTGGCTGTTGGGAAATAAATAGAACTATTTGATGTAAACTGCAGATGAGGCTTGCTTAGATGGGCTGATAAAGATGAAAGTAATGAAACAGGCTGCAGTAGGAAATTATTTTGAAGCTAGAACTTCACAATGATAACACAGTTTATTTGACTAGATGTAATGTGATGAAGGAGGAAAAGAGAAAAGTCAAGAAAAAAATCCTAGTTCACTTAATTAATTAGATGAATTCTTTATCAAGACAAAAAAGACTTGGAAGAGCAAGAACTTTGTACCTGTAGGAGGGAACAGGCAGAGGTAGGAGAAACCATAGGAGAGAGGGGGAGGTTCCTGGAAAGGTTGACAGAGCGTTCCCAAAAGATGGGTAAGATCAATGGTGTTAAACTGCCAAGGAGTCAAGGAGATGCAGGACTGAGAATTGACTCCTAAATGAGTGGAATGGAGGCAATACATGACCTTCACAGACTGGAAGTGGAAAGAACAAAAGCATCTATAATGTGTGCATAAGAAAAATTTGGAAGTGGGGGGATAAGGAAATAATCACATACATAAGTTTCAAGAACTTTTGCAATAAAAATGGCAGAGAAATAATATGGTAGGAAAGATGTGCTAAGAGTCTTAGGAAGACTCCTGTAGGAATGGGTGATGTTTCGGCAGGCTTTGGCTGTTTGAAATAATCCCATAGAGCATAGATGTAAGAATCAGGGACAAAAGGGTCACATGCAGAAGCAAAATCCTTGATTGGGCAATGTAGTTCAGAATCAGGTGGGAAGTTAAGTGATAGGAGTAGGAAGGCTTCACCTGTGATAATACGAGAGAAGCCAGAGACCTGGGCTTCAACTGAATGTAGGTTGCTCAACTTAGTGGTGGTTATGGTGAGATCATTCTGTTCTGATTTTTCTGACTTTTTAGTGAATTATCTGAGGTTATCAGTGGGCACAGACGCAGTTTCTAATATTCAACCTTCCTTGCTTGAGAAGCAGACATGCCAGTATCTGTAAGGTTTTTGGTATGTTTGTTATCTCATTAGCCTCCATACTCTAACGGAGTTGTTATGATTATTCTCATTTTAGATGAGTAAATTGAAGCCCTGAGAGTCTAAGTTTCCTTCTAAGAGTCACGAGATAGTAAGAAAAAGAGTTAGGTCTTCATTAAAATCGGAGAGTGTCCAAATTCTTTGCTCCTTTAAATCATGCTGCCTCTTTAATGAAATCCATTCAACTTTCAATAAAGAATGGTGAGAAACATAGGAAGGGAGAGAAGTGATCACTGTTAAAATAGGGTAAATGGGAGAGAAGGGTGTGGGGTTAAGAAACACAGAACCATATTCATTCCCTTGAAATTGAACTCAGTTTCTTAGAAATTATAAGGATTTCTTTCAACTTCTGTGACTTGTTTGCATTTGTTGTGTTTTTCTTGTCCTTAAGATTTCTGGAATATCAGTAAACAATCTGTAAATAATTTTCAAATTTCTATTTGTGCTATAGAAGTCAGAGAAAGGCCAGGCATGGTGGCTCACACCTATAATCCCAGCAGTTTCAGAGGCCAAAGCAAGTGGATCGCCTGGGGTCAGGAGATGCAGACCAGCCTGGCTAACATGGTGCAACCTCATTTCTACTAAAAATACAAAAATGAGCCATGCATGATGCTGGGAACCTATAACCTCACATACTTGGAAGGCTCAGGCAGTAGAATAGCTTGAAGCCAGGAGATGCAAGGGGCACTGGGCCAAGATTGTGCCACTGCACTCCAGCCTGGGTGAAAAAAACTGCATCTCGTGGGGGTGGGAAATAATAGAAAACAGGGAAGTAGAGAAACAGTAAAATCTTTTTTCATGGCAGCTGGCTAAATTAGGATTCAAAAGGAGGGAAGCTTCCTGGAGCATCAAGGAGAAGGGTTCCTAGATGTTCTTACAATGTCTTCTTGGTCCTCATATCCCACATTCACAAACATTGAGAAACAGACACCACAATCAGAAACTGCAAGCTGATGATTTTATTGGTATGTTGAAGTTAGAGCTATGACCGCCTTCTTCCAATGTCATAGCATTTGAATCATTTGAATCACTGTCATCTTCTTTTTCACTTCCTGAAACAAACAGACAAGGAAGTTCATAGACCAGACTTGACATGGCAGGAAATGTCTAATTCCTCCCTGGAGTTACTGCAGTAGAGTACATGAGAGCCCATCCCCTCTCTCCCCATCCCTTCTACCTCCTGTGTTTCCTTCCTAAGTTTTTGTGTGCTCCCTCTTTTGATGCCCCTCCCTTGCACAAAATGTGCTCCAAATCATTCCTTACATGATGAAGAGATAATATCGTTCATAGCTTGTTATTACTTGCTACAGAGTTTGTTCAGGGATATATTTACAGGGATGGTAACTGGAGCACATTCTACGACAGTGAGAAGCTGAAACGACTCTCAGTGTCCAATGACAGGGATTGGTTAAAGAAATCACAGTGCAGACACATAATGGAGTGGCATAAAATTGTAAAAACAAACAGATAACCACTGAAGAGATCTACTTAGCTTTGTAAAGTCATGTGGAAATATTGAAAGAAATGTATTTTTTGAATGACTAACATATGTACCTGCATAAAAATTATGGTATTAGTTCTGGGGGAAAAATATTCTAATTCTCAATGTAAACATAAATATTTCAAATAGATAATGTCATAAAGTTAACAGTGGTAGTTTTCTGAAGGAGAGAAGGCAGGTAGGATGAGTTTTGTCTTTAAATTTAGCTTCATATTTTTCCATTCCATTAGATATTTGTTGCAAGCTTAATCACATACTTATTAAAAAGTAAGAATTTTAAAAATGAGACACCATTTAGCTGCTGAAACTTCAGGGACCACTTGGCAGGAATACTGGACTAGAGAGGCTGGAGTGAGGCAGGACTGAGCAAACAGTGCTCAGGTGAAAACTTTAAATGGGAGGTCTCTGAGTTTGTGGACAGAAAACAGAGTGCCAGAGCGAACATGGTACTATTTCCTCTTTGCCAATACAATCTAAAACAGATTGTTAGGAATATTGCTTCTCTACATCAGAATTCCTTAAAGAGCTTGTAACAAATATAGGGCCTTGTTACCCATTTCCAGAATATCTGAACACAAATCTTTAGAAATGGGGCCTATGGCAAAATGATGTCAATGGGCTTTTAGTTGATTCTTTGGCACAGGAAAGCTGGAGACCTGTAGCAATTAGAGCAATTGGTGAAGAATCAACTGGAATCATACCTGTCATTGAATCCTAGATTACTGGGGAGACTGTCCCTGGGGAGGTCCGGCAGGTCTGCCCCCTTGAGGAGGGGGTGGTGGTCCCTGGGGCTTTCCAGCAGGAGGTGGCTGAGCCTGCTGGGCATTGCCTCCTTGTTGGGGTGGTCCTTGTGGCTTTCCTGGAGGTGGGGGACTTTGAGGTTTGTTGCCTCCTTGTTGGGGTGGTCCTTGTGGCTTTCCTGGAGGTGGGGGACCTTGAGGTTTCTTGCCTCCTTGTTGGGGTGGTCCTTGTGGCTTTCCTGGAGGTGGGGGACCTTGAGGTTTGCCCGTGCCCTTTATTGTTTGGGTGGTCCTTGTGGCTTTCCTGGAGGTGGGGGACCTTGAGGTTTCTTGTCTCCTTGTTGGGGTGGTCCTTGTGGCTTTCCTGGAGGTGGGGGACCTTGAGGTTTGTTGCCTCCTTGTTGGGGTGGTCCTTGTGCATTTCCTGGAGGAGACTGGGGACCTTGGGGCTTCTTGCCTCCTTGTTGGGGTTGTCCTTGTTGATGTTCTGGAGGAGAAAGAGAGAAGAGAAAGATGGAGTAAAAGTCCACACAAGATTCACTGAATAGTTGCAGTAAATTTTGATCAGCTAGGGTATCAAGCTGAGGGGGAAACACACAACAATGGGACCAAGACACTAATTTCTTTGCATTTTCGGTGAAGACATAGAACTCTGGAATAGAACGCTAGGGAAGAACATGCACTTGGGGGACTCTCAGTATAAAGAGGAATCAGAATGACGATGCTGCCCATTTGTCTCTCATCTCCCAGCAGCCACTTCTGGTCGGGGAATGAGACAACCCACTCCTGCTGACATCTAAGCCAAGCATCTCTACCATTCAATTTGGTGGCCTGCTCATGGTCCCCAGAATCAGGATTGCAGGAAGACTGCCTGTATTATTAGGGGCACTAATATAAATCAATTCTTGAAAGGTCAATGTTGATAAGAAGACATTGGAGAACTGCTCCATTCATCAGCAGAAAAAGACAGTCAAAACAGATTGAGAATAAATTGGAATTTACCTGATATCAGGGAGGGAGATTCTTCCTGGCCGACATCTAGAAGAGAAGCACAGGATGATGGGAAAAGTTACATCTCGAATCTTTCAAGACTCACAAGTGTTCTACAGGGAAAAGGGTCTTCTCACCACACCCCATGCATCCCCTAAGTTAACTCGTCAGCCACTGTCTGTGAAGCTGCTGAAAGGGAGGAAGGTGTAAGGGGAGGCAGGGTTCTTATGACAGAGCAGCAGCCATGAACTCAACATAGAAGAGCTCCTTTTTTCCCTCCCTAGCATCCTCAAGGCTTACAACTAATTTAGTTTACACATGCCAGGTACCACAATGTGATATTTTGGTATTCTTATGCCCTCCATCTCCTGTTAACATATTGCTTCTGTATGCATGCTTTCTCAATTGGCATAAACAGAAGTAATCATTGCAATACAATCTTACCCATAAAACTTCCAACACATTGAAATACCTCATGTAGGGGAGAGAAAAATGACAATGATTGGCTCTGATATTTCTGTATCTCTAGTTAGACAGAGACAAGTGTTCCATCCAATTCTCGGTCTCTTCAGAATCTCTGATGTGTATTTATCTCCATCATTGATGCTGATTCACTGCACAGCAAGGACTCCATCATCCCTGTGTACTTACTGAGATCAGTATTGGTTGTTCACAGCTGGACTTGCCTGAATCTGCCTTGCATTTTCCACTGCATCCTTCACAGCACAATCGTATCTCTCTATAAATGCAAATCTTACCTTCTCATTCCCCTGGAACAAATTCTTTAATGGATTTCATTGTACATTAAATAAATTAGAAACCCTTAGTGTGGAATGAGGGTGCAATGGGTCTCCTGATCCAGGCCTGAAAACTCTGCAGCCCCATCTGTGTTTCCATTCTCTTCTCTTCTCCCCTAATTACCATTATCACCTCCTAACCCCACACAGAGTCATTGCATCCTCTTCCCCTTCTGTTTTACCTTCATGTAAGTTCTGAGCTGAGCTCAGGGCCAGCAGGGCCACTGACAGCAGAATCAACAGCATCTTGCAGGAGGCTCTAGAGTTGCTCCCAACACTGTGCTGGGAGGAACGAGGCAGCTCCCTTTATAAAGAGAAGCAAAACAATGACAGCTTTCAGCTCCACACTGGTGGTGCCTCACCACCTCAGAGACTAGGTTCTGCTTTGCTCACTGCAGGTCAGGTGTATCCCTTATTTCTCTCTGGGACTCTAGCCCAGAGGGATGGGTTGGGTCGGATATGTTGTTATTGTCTTATTTTTAAAAGGTACAACTGTGACTTGAACGATGGTTTTCAAGGAACTCTGTCCAAGCCATCAGCACTGTGTCATAATTGAACTTTAGATATCATTAGAGTTTCAATCTTTCAGGTAAGACTATTACCCGCTTTCCACTGTGATACTTATTTCTGTTTATGTGTGTGAGAGCAGGGATGCTACAGCCAACAGTGAAGATGGTCAATATCTCTGGATCTATTTATGCCCTATTTCCATCTCTTGTGATGTGTGTACAGATATTTTCATATTTAGCTAAATTGTTGGTGTCATAGAGATGGTTTCTGCTCTCTGTGAGATATGAGAAAACAGCACACTCCTGGGCACACATAGATGACAGAAAGCTGCCCCATGGCCTGCTCAGGCTAGAGCTATTGTTCAAGCTTCTGTGGATCTCACTCAGTTCAGACAAGGCTTAGTGCTGTACAGCACTGGAAGGCTAAAATCTTGTATTTTAAACTATTATTAGAGGTTATTAAAGCAAAATGGACACAGAAACCACCAGGAAATTTCTAGACCTGAGAAAACTGAATACATAGTTCTGTGAGGGAGCCATGCGATCTCATGTCACTAAAACATCCTTCATGTTCTTCCCTTTCTCTGAAATATTCTCTAAAATGCACTCTCTGCTTCATTTCTTTTGGGTATTGTATCAAACTCCTACCACTGATAATTAAGTGGCCACAAATCTACATTCAAATAAGTTAATCAGATACCACCATCAAAGCCACAATTGCATTGTATAGGTTTTCTCAGATTGTTCTTCCACAGAGTATTTTTTCTACAATATTCTGATATGCATTCCTCTGCAAGTTCTCTCTAGTACTTTTTTATTCCTATTTTGTTTTCTGAGTCAAGACCATTATGTATATTTTTATTATATATCTAACTTTTTCCCATGAATTTGGTGAGATTTCCTTTATTTAATCTTCTGTGTAATAGGACATAGTACTCCTCACAGCCTTTTTTCATTCTTCTCTGTGTAGTTTCACAATAAATGCTGTGTTTCCAAAAAGCCCTATCAGAGTCCTGCAAGGCTAACCCTTCTTTTTTTTTTTAAATTATATTTTAAGTTCTAGGGTACATGTGGATAACGTGCAGGTTTGTTACATATGTATACTTGTGCCATGTTGGTGTGCTGCACCCATCAACTCATCAGCACCCATCAACTCGTCATTTACATCAGGTATAACTCCGAATAGCTGCTCATTCTTCCATCTGGTAAATCCCTGCTCATCAGTTCATGGAATATACATGTTAGTCAGTATCAGCAGCTGCCATTTTCCACTTAGACCTTCTGTGTGTCTTCTTGTGTAATTGTTCACATTTTGTGCACGGCTGGTGTTAATTTGAGGACAGCTTTGTTGGAGGTATGATAGGGATAGAGAGTGTGTCCAACAGTAAATCCTAAAGACAGACCTCTTGACCATTCTGGATGAGTGGATCCTGGGCTTTCCATATGAGAATCTGGTTGGCCCTTCTCAACAGTTGCGGGTCATAGCACAGGGAGACTTCCTCATACAAAAGGCTTTGCTACGGATAACTTTGCCCTTGCAAGAGAATCAGGCAGATTGGTATTTTCCCTGGCATAATTGTAGATGTAGACATACTGGAAAGGGGAATACATTACTAGTTGGCAATTCTTTCTGGCTCTGTGGAAAGTGGATTGGTTCTAGCTGAGCTTCATGAATTTTCTCTTAGGCAGAGAGTAGTTGCTTGGTCCCAGCAGATCCCACTGTATTATGGAGATTTGTGTCTCTGGTCTCACCAGACATTGTTTTCCATAGGAACTGGAGATGAGCAATCCTGCCTAGGTAGCTTAAGTTAGATCATCAGGCAGCAAAGGAATGTCAGAGACAAGGAGCAGCAAAGAGGCCTGGCTGACATTGCCTGATTAATTCACCAACTGAGGTTGCTGCAGGCCTGAGGCAAGACCGACTGGTCCTTGGCAGGAGAGTACAGGAAGAGAACAGAAATGCCCCTAAAGGTAACTCATTTCAGGCCCTTTCCCTGACCTTCTCCAATGTCAGCAATGAGTAAAGTTTATCAGGAAACCATAAATACCAGCTATGCACTCAACTGACAAAACAAAAAGGGAAGTGATGGAAATGCAGAAAGGGACACTGTCTGTGAGTGAGGGTGGGTGAAAGACAGAAGCAGGACTGCTGCAGGAGCTTGGGCACCTAGAGGTGAGTGGCAGCCCTCAGCACTCCACTTGCCTTCTAATATCCATGTCCATATTCTGAGGTCCTGAAGGAACAGTCGTCAATATATGAAATTTTAGGAAACACAATTAGCTCTCATAACAGCTCCCATCCTGTTCTAAGTCAAGTGTTCAGTGGTTCAAAAATCCTCACTCCTTTCAGGCACTACCCTTTAGCAAATCGAGTTGACTCCACTTTCGACACTCATCCCAAATAGAACCACTTGCACAGTCTTTACTACAAGGTCATAGTTCAGGCCATGGTGCTCTTGCCTGAAGGACTTTAATATCCTCAGCTGCTCTTGGTAACTTTCCTACACCAGCACATCACATCCCATATCTCTTCCCCTCACGTCAGTCAAGGTGATCATTGAAAGTAGGAATTAGATCATAGTATTTTTGTAAACATGTTTGTTTGATATCATAATCACATATAAACATATTCTAATATTCTGCTTTACCCCTTGCATTTGTATAAAGACACTCAGGAATTAATTACTTTTTTTTCTAATTACAAAACTCTGTCAATGTAGATGCTGTATGTACTTCCTTAATCCATGCTACATGCATTTTTCTTGGGTGGCATATTAGCATCGACAAATTTTGTGCATGCCCTTTTAAATTGCCAACAGAGGTCAACAAAGAACTGAAGGAGAGAGTGTCACTTAGGGTGAGGTCAAAGCAAGAAGCAGCACTGCAACAAGAGCTTAGGCACTTGTCCATGAGTCAAGGAAACCGCAGCAATCCACGTTGCCATTTATAAAATAATGTGGAATTGCCATGAGGGGCCAAAAAGCAGACTGCTTGATTCTAACCCCTAAAACCTGCCCCTGAATTTCTTCATTATAGTCATCGCATCCAAACAAAATATTCACATACTAAGACTTTTCTTAAACCAACAGATATTACTTGTATCAAACCTTCCCTGGATGACCTCAAGTTCCACAAAGGAAGGTGGTGAGGCACATTCATGGTCTTATGCTTGGGCGCTGTCTGTTCAGGAGTAGATATCTGCCTCTTGCTGGGTCCCTTCCATGTGACTGCGTCCTGTGCCTATGTACTTCCCCTGTGTCTCTTGGTGTGCAATTTTCCAGTTTTTATAAGGAATTCCAACATTCTTCCTAAGGGTTCTCAATTCCCCCGCGCCCCCCCCCCCCCGCCTTTTTTTAAATTGCGAGGACTTCCCACTGAACACCTCCCTCATTTTGGCTAATCACCCATCTTCTTAGAGCTGTTTTTCCAACACAGTCATATATTCTAGGAACAAGAGGTTGGCTTGTAGGATTTTTTTTATAACCCATGCCTATAGTAATTTTGCTAAATATTTTATTTTATACAGATTATTTACTTTGTAACTTTGAGTTGTGTGAAGACACACACAAACCTGGCAATTCATGGCTGACTGAAAGTTTGGCCTTCATGCTGGTCCAGATCCACACAGATTGTCCAATATTCTTTGGATCTGGCTGTAAGTCAGAAAAGTCTTGGTGTTGTAAGGATACAGGTGTCTTAATGCATTCTATTAATAATAATCATGGAGAGGTTAAAACAAAGTTGGCCACAAAAATATCAAGTAAGGTTCTAGAAATGAGAGCCAGAATGAACACAAGTTCTTGAATGATCCATCCTATTTCAATGTCTTTAAGACTTTTTCCTTCTTCTTGCCCCTTTATTAGAATGTTTGATCAGATTCACTTTCAGCTTTACACCTTACAGGATTATATCTATATATATACACATACAGGCCATTTGATCATTTGGATGAGAGGATCCTGTGTTGTACACATTAGAATCTACTCCTGCTCTTCCAGGTGGGTTTGAAATACAAGAAATGTCAAACAGTTTGTGAAAGAATGTAATTACAATATGAAAGAATATAAAGAATTGAGGATCCTGGGAATTTAACCATATAAATGCAATATTTTAACATTATTAACTGAACAAAAGAGCATACACGTTAAAGATATTTTAATCTTGGAAAAAAAAAGTCCAAAGATACTGCATCAGTACTTTAAATTGGATGCCCAGTGATATTCTTTTTTTTCTTTTCTTTTTATTTTTTTCTTGTCTTTTTACTTTCTTTCTTGGCTTTTTTTGCTTCCGTAGGTTGGGGAACAGATGGTGTTTGGTAACATGAATAATTTTCTTAGTGGTGATTTGTGAGATTTTTGTGCACCCACCCCCTGGGGCGTATACACTGCACCCAATTTGTAGTCTTTTTTTCATCACCCCCTTCTCGGCATTTCCCTCTGAGTTCCCAAAGTCCATTATGTCATTCTTATGCCTTTGCATCCTCATAGATTAGCTTCCATTTATGACTGAGAACATATGATGTTTGGCTTTCCATTCCTAAGTTACATCACTTAGAATGATAACATCAACTTCTGAGACACTTTGGAGACAGCCAAAATTTTAGCAGATAACTGCCCAGAAAAACTTCAGCAGACGGTCCTTGTCCATCACAGCGATGCTCCTACTCATTCGTCTCATGAAACAAGGGAAATTTTACCAGACATTTGATGGAAAAGCACTAGGCATCCAATCTCATCCATTTTTCTGCTAAAGATTTGGCTAACTCTCTCCAAACTTCAGACTCTCTCATAAGTGTTGTTACCATTCTTTGACCCTCCAGAAAGTTAACAACCAAAATACCTTGAACATCCAAAAACACTGTTGGCATGATATTTGCTTTTGTCACATTTACTAAGACTAGACCACTGCCACTTCCTGGGATCATTGATTTTTTGAAGGGTTTTTTGTGTCTCTTTGTCCTTCAGTTCTGCTCTGATCCAAATCAAAATAATATACATTCTTCTCAGCACCACATCGCACTTATTGCAAACTTCACCACATAGTTGGAAGTAAAGCACTCCTCAGCAAATGTAAAGAACAGAAATCATAACAAACTGTCTCTCAGACTATAGACACAATGAAATTAGAATTCAGGGTTAAGAAACTCACTCAAAACCACACAACTGCATGGAAACTGAACAACCTACTCCTGAATGACTACTAGGTACATAAGGATATGAAGGCAGAAATAAAGGTGTTCCTTGAAACCAATGAGAATAAATATACAAAGTACCGGAATCTCTGGGACACCTTTAAAACAGTGTGTAAAGGGAAATTTATAGCACTGAATGCCCACAAGAGAAAGCAGGAAAGATCTAAAATCGACACCCCCACATCACAATTAAAAGAACTAGAGAAGCAAGAGCAAACACATTCAAAAGCTAGCAGAAGACAAGAAATAACTAAGATCATCACCCCCTTCTCAGCATTTCCCTCTGAGTTTCCAAAGTCCATTGTGTCATTCTTATGCCTTTGCATCCTCATAGATTACCTCCCATTTATGACTGAGAACATACGATGTTTGGCTTTCCATTCCTAAGTTACATCACTTAGAATGATAACGTCAACTTCTGAGACACTTTGGAGACAGCCAAAACTTTAGCAGATAAATGCCCAGAAAAGCTCTTTGGTTTAATTAGATTCCATTTGTCAATTTTAGCTTGTGTTGCAGTTGCTTTGGTGTTTGAGTCATGAAGTCTTTGCCCATGCATATGTGTTGAATGATATTGCCTTGGTTTTCTTCTATGGTTTTCCAGTTTTCGGTCTTACATGTATGTCTTTAATCCTTCTTGAGTTAATTTTTGTATAAGATGTAAGGAAGGGATCCAGTTTCAGTTTTCTGCATATGGCTAGCCAGTTTTCCCAGCACCATTTTTTAAATAGGGAATCCATTCCCCATTGCTAGTTTTTGTCAGGTTTGTTGAAGATCAGATAGTTGCATATGTGACGTGTCATTTCTGAGGACTCTGTTCTGTTCCATTGGTCTATGCATATGTTTTGGGACCAGTATCATGCTGTTTTGG